CCTACGATGGCTCTTCCACTTGAGGCATATATTGCCGGCGTCAAATGTCAGAGCCCACCATGACATTGCTAAGATTATTGCAGCGGCAGAATTCTCCGCCGATGCCACATTTAATGCAGTCAAATTCTCATCTAGAGCCCTAGCATCTCACGTATCAGCACGGAGACTGCTATGGCTCAGACATTGGCAGGCGGATACCAAGCATAAATGCAAGCTGGCATCAGCCCCAATATCGGGGGATAAATTATTTGGCAGTGTCTTGGAGCCCCTGCTTATTGAGAATAGAAACAAGAAAAAAGTGCTTCCCCCTCTTTTTCGGAGGTCTGAAAACAGAACGCCCCAGTCGTTTCGAAAGGGTTCCTTTCGGACCTACTATCAAGGCCCATACGTTCCCAGATCGCAAAGAACATCAGGCTACAGACCCAGTTTTAGACAGGATAGGTCGGAATCTTCCCACAGACGTCAGCGGGGAGGCCACAACAGAAGAAACCCCAGAGGTACCGGAGGGTGATTTTTTCGTCGTCCCAAGTGAGTCCTTGACAGCAGCTCCCATTGGAGGGTGGGTAAAATTGTTTGCTGATCAACGGGACAGCATCACCACTGATGCATGGGTCAGGGACTCCGTTAGGTTTGGTTTGGCGCTAGAGTTTCAATCCTCCCCTCCGAACTTTTTCATTAGGAGCCCTAGGTCCACGGACCCCATTAAGAGAGCATTGATGCAGGAGGCTATCAATTATCTTCTGCATATTCGGGCCATTAGGTCCCATCTGAACAATGGGGTCAAGGCTGTTACTCTCTATTGTTTGTGGTCCCAAAGAGTTCGGTGGGCTGGAGGGCAATTCTGGACCTCAAACATCTGAACAGATCATTGGTTTATCAAAAATTCAAAATGACTACTCTCCAGTCCATTCTGCTCAGCATCAGAGAGAACGATGTCCTGACCTCTATAGATCTGACAGGATTATCTACATATACCAATTAGACCTGCGCACTACAAATACCTTAGATTTTACTATTGTGATCAGCACTACGAATATATCGCCCTACCATTCAGTCTGGCTTCGACCCCTAGGACTTTTACCAAAGTCCTAGCGGCTTTGGCTTCCTCCCTCAGGATCACATCTATTCGTTTACAATGTTATCTGGATGATATTTTAATTTTGTCATCTTCCAGACATCAAGCAAATTTGGATACCAAGATTACTCTGGAGACCCTTCAAGGTCATGGCTTTTCCATAAATTGGGATAAAAGCCATTTGATCCCTTCAACTAGGTTAGTTCATTTTGGGGCAGTGATAGATACTGTGGAGGGCAAGGTTTTTCTCTCTCAGGACAGGTTGAATAGTATCCAGTCAGAGAGATCAGAGTCTTAAAGAGGGTTTCCCTGGCAGTTCTGTCTCAACTGTTAGGGAAACTGATTTCTTGTATTTCCATTGTGCCTTGGGCTCAATTCCATTCTAGAGATCTGCAATTGTTCCTGCTACCTTTCCAGCAGTCCGGAAGAGCCACTTCCAACGTCCGGATAAAGGTACCACACAATGTTCTCCAATCACTCCGCTGGTGGTTGGTAAACATGATAAACAAGGGGTGTCCTTTCAAGGAACCTTCCAGGGCAACGATCAAAACCAATGCCAGCCTGGTAGGATGGGTAGCTCACTTCCAATCCCACACTGCACAGGGAAGTTGGACTATTTCTGAACAATCACAAAGTATCAACCTGTTGGAGCTGCGAGCAGTTCATCTAGCGTTACACAGTTTTCTACCCCTTTTCCAATCATGCCACATTCTGATCTTGACAGACAATATCACAACCAAGGCCCACGTAAACAGATGGGGGTACCCACTCCAAACTTCTGATGCTGGAGACGGCCAGGTTGTTCAAGTGGGACGAAGCCAATCTGTTGTCGCTCAAGGCAGAGCACATAGCAGGGGCCTTAAACACACAAGTGGACTGGCTAAGCAGGGCCTCTATAGATCAGGCAGAGTGGCGTCTACACCCGTCTCTCTTCCAGGAAGCAGTGCGGAAGTTTGGGCAACCAGTGATTGATCTATTTGCCACTCCCCTCAACGCCCAATTTCCCTGGTATATTTCAAGGTACCTGACTCAGGGGACAGAGGCCGTCAACGCTCTGCGATGTCAGTGGCCTCCCGGACTTCTATATGTGTTTCCTCCACTCCCTGTAATACCCAGGTTGATCCAGAAGTTATTGGAGGAACCAGCGGAACTGATATTGGTCGCCCCTTACTGGCCCAGGCGAACATGGTTTACGGACTTACAGGACTTGTCAAGAGAACAACCTTGGAAAATTCCACCGTCGAGGGTTTCCCTCTCGTAAGGGCCAGGCTTTACCCGGGCCCACAATGGCTCAGCCTAGCCGTATGGAGGTTGAGCAGAACTGTTTAAGGACCCAACAGATTTCAGAGGATGTCATTGCCACCATACAAGCATCCAGACGGTCCTCTACAAATCGTATATACGAGGCCACGTGGTCCTATCTCCAAATACTTTACGCAGGCAAGTGGCGGCCTTAGCCTCGGTGATATCCTGGGGTTACTTTCGTTCCATAGTGCACCATTCACATATCCACAGCTTTCTTAAGGGTGCTGCAAACTTACGATCTTCTGTAATTCACTGCTGTCCCACTTGGGAGCTCAACAAGATGTTAACCGCACTTACAACTGGCCCATTTGAGCTTTTAAGAACCGCTAGTCTCAAATTCCTGACATATAAGGTGGTCTTCTTAATTGCGATCACATCAGCAAGGAGGATTTCCGAGTTGGCAGCATTGTCGATGAGAAAGGACCTGTGCGTGTTTCATGCGGACAGAGTGGTTCTCAGATTGGATCCATCGTTCATCCCTAAAGTAAATTCAGCCTTCCACAGAGCGCAGGAGTTGATGCTTCTAAATTTTTGTCCGAAACCATCTCATAAACTGGAGCATCAATGTGATCAACTTGACGTTCAAAGGGCGTTAAGCATCTATCTAGATGGCACGGCGGCATTTCGAAAATCTGAGGCTCTAATCCTATCCTTCAATCCATCCACTTTAAGGACATAGGGTGTCATCAACGACCATTGGTAGATGGTTGAGAGCCACCATAGCTAAAAGTTATGAATGCCAGTCCACCTCAGTTCCTAAGGGCATTACAGCCCACTCGACAAGGAGTGCGGCAACATCAGCAGCATGGGCCACTCGGGCTTCCATAGACGAAATCTGCAGAGCGGCGACTTGGGCTTCACCATCGCCCTTTGTGAGAAATTATAAAATTGATGTCTATGCCTCAGTGGACGCTTCATTTGGCAGAAGAGTCCTGCAGAGGGTCCATAGAGTTTAGGAGTGCATTTCGATCCAGACGGAGTCCCTCCCTAAGGACAGGCCAAGCTTTGGTATGTCCCACTTCTGGATGCTCTGAACAGCTCATGGGAGAAAGGGCGTTGGTACTTACCTGATACGCCCGTTCTCTGTGAGCTGTGAAGAGCATCCAGCCCCACCCATTTCTTTCCATCTGGTGGGGTTCCATTCCAGTCAGGGATCTTGATTAGGTGATGAGTTCCAGACTTTGGCACTCAGTCTTTGCAAAACTGGGGGATGCTGAGGAGGTGTCCCATGGAGGAGGAGGAGCCTCCCGGAGTTTTAAGCCCAGCCTTTCCAGAAGAGACTGAAGCACCTCCCACTTCTGGATGTTCTTCACAGCTACCATACCAACGCCCTTTTTATTATACAAGAATAAAAGTTACATTAGGATTGGAGAATCTTTGGCTCCCTATATGCTTATGATGCATAGCAACTCCAGACAACATAGCTAATGAAAATGATTTTTTTATGACTAGTTAGCAACATCAGGAGAGTCAGAGATGTGATGTAGATGCTTGGGGAAAGAGATGTTACATTTTTAGCATATATGTTTCAATGCTTCTGATTGTCATGTATTATCTTGCTTTTGCATTATAGTCATGCTATCTGATAGCTCCATCCAACAAGCAATACTAACAAATCAACAACATCATACTGTTCTTATTTTCTCTAATTAGTTGTTCAGCGAGCTTGAGATATGGGAATATAAAATATCTGTAATGGAATGGGTAGATGACTCTTGGTGAACAAGGGGAAAGGTTGCTGCCTGGGAAGCAATCAGCTAAGAGTTGCATGAGGCTCCAGTGGTTAAATAGGCAGAGAAAGAAACTTAGGAAGGACTCACACTAATGGATCACATTTGTACTTTTAGACTTGCAAGATTGATATCAGTCCTCCCAGGTAAACCAGACAGGAAACACAACTACATGAATTCATATTACTTTATTATAAGGCTACATTATCTTGTAAGTCTGAAATATAAACTTCCATCTGCTACTTTTAACTGCTTGATTCATCAAGATGGATCCTTTCTAAGTTTCTTTCTTTTACTTTAAACCAATGAGGGCTTCTGCCTCTATTCTCTGATTGCTTTCTAGGTAACATCTCTTTCCCTTGTCCCTCAATGTCATTTATACATTTCATTACAATATCTTAATGGTTTAGTTTTAAAGAATTAGGATGGAAGAAACCTGGTTTTAAGTCAGCTGAGTAATTTGGGGCCTATAGTTTTCTTTCTGCTCAACATATCTCACAGGGTTATTGTTGCAGGGAATAAAATGAAGGGAATCCTCACTTACCTCTGTCCTAAAGAAAAAGTGGGATCTCAGTTTAACAAATAATAGAAGGAAGGAAATAAGTCAGTTCTGTAAAGCAGATGGGTTGGTATCATACTCCAATATGGTGTTTTTATTTCTGTTTTTATTTTAACAGCAACAAGAATGTTTTATTTGGGCTTTATCTAAAATAATCAGAGAATTCTAAGTTTAAAAGCAAGTATGCTGCAGTTCAAGTATACAATATTTCTCTTTTCAAGCTAAAAATATTTTTTCTATTTGATTTCTGTCTTTGAAATAGCTATTTTAATATGCATATTTTAATTTCTTCATATAAACAATAACTATGTTTTTTGGGGGTCGGGGCAAGATGATCATTGCAGGATATGTTTGAAAGCTGAAAATAGTCATGACAATTCAGACTACATCAACGCAAGTCCAATTGTAAGTATAAAAGAAACTTCTTATGAACAGTGAATTAAGATTAATTATGATCCAGTTAATTAATTAATTATAATAAAAATATAAATTTTATTTTGATGAAAGCCATGGTTGTAGTCCCTAGTATCTGCATGTACCTTGAAATAATTATATATTTACTAAAGAAAATGTTTTTGTTGCTAACTTTAGTTCTATAATCTAAAAGTATACTTATACAAACTTCCTAAACCTATTTATGTACTGTGACAAGTCCATTTCAGAAAGTGCAAATATGCTTTATTATTGAACTCTAGAATTTTAAAAACAAAATTGTTTTTTGAGTGCCTAATATGAAGACCCTTCTACCTACTTATTTGAAATTAGCCAGTTTTTATGCCCTCAAACATCAAATTTAAGTAATAGTCAATGGGAGTTTAGCTGAATAAGTTAAATCTGATAGTCTCCATATTGGTTTGAAGTGAATTGGGGTGTATTCACATTGCTACCTAAGGTCCAAGCTAAAATTTGTAATCATGCATATTCCACACAATTTCATTATCTTCTTTCTGTGATTTGGGGTATGTTTGTTATTTAGTTGCAAATTTTCTTCAGAGTTACCATAGTTGAAATATACATTCTTCTAACAATGTACACATTTAAAGATGGTATTTTTCAGACTGTAAAATGCACCTTGGTTAAGAGGAGGAAAACAAGAAAAAATAGCTTTTTGCCTCCATGTGTCCCATTTCCCCCCCCCCCCCCCTCCCCCCCCCCCCCCCAGCATCCAACGGGCCTGTTTTTGGCCCGTTGTGGCTGTTTTTGGCCCTGGCTTCTGGATGCCAGGGAGAGGAAAAACAGGGTGCGCAGAGGTTTTGGGAGGCTAAAAATAGGCTAAGACACAGACATTTCCACCTACTTTTTTGTGGGGGGGAAATGCACCTTATACTCCAAAACATACAGTAAATGAAGTGCTTTCAACAGGGAGCACATATGTAACCATTTCTCTTCAATAATTTAGGACAACTTGATTTTTCCCATAACTGATTTTTCACAATTAACAGAACATTATTAGGAAACATATCATAGATCAACTTTAAAAAGGTAATATTCCTTGAGTTGAAACTGACTCCTGGTGATTCTAAGAAGTTGTTACAATTATTTCCTTGAAAATAATTCATATGTAATTTATTTTGGGTTTTTGTTTGTTTTGATTTCTATTTAGTCTGAAGATTACTAGCCTTTTTTGTGATCATATAAAGTAAGGTTACTATATGCTACTAACTGCTCTGGACACAGAAAGATTTATTATCCAACGTCTAATCCTCATCAACAGAATAACAACTGCATATTTATTCAGATATAAAAATTATTGCATAAAAAGCCCTGCTAGAAGTGAACTGCCTCACAGTAAAAATGTGAAATTTTCGTAGAGTTCATGCATCATTACCAGGAATTATTTCAGCTTTTCCCTTGCATCTCAGCCAATTTTTGTAGCCATTATTATATGTAACAAACTAAATCCCAAATAAAATTTTGCTTCATTTGGCTTTAAAATGCATGTGTCATAAAAGCAATCTCTTGTTACTTGCAATTTTTTTCAAATAACAAAATAGACTTTGTAGCAAACACTAAGCTGTATAAATATATTCTACTTCAATTATAGTACATTAAATTATTCCTTCATTGGATGAAATAAATTGCTGTACTGTATGAGGCATGTTTACTATTTTATCTTGCTTCCATTTTTAAATTATGTTTAAAATATTTTGTGAGGATGCTTTGTTTTGAAAGCAAGCTCTGCAGATAAGCAATCAATTTCACAGTGATAATATTGTTTATATGTGCGGGCAGGCGCACACATATGTGTATGTGTGCTCTTTGTAAATGTAAATTATACTGGGTGATAGGAACTGATTCAGAGTAGCAGAAAAGTGCATCTTAGATGAGATTTAAAATCCCAGTAAATATATTTTTTTCACTATCTTTTTAATTTAATTATCATTTACAGGTGATTAAAAACTATGAAATTTAGATTAATCAAAAAAAATCCAAACTAGTAACTAGGAATGTAAAATAGCTTATAGATTAAAATATATCACTAATATTACTTATAATTAATTTTCACTGCTACCGTTTTTACAGGCTGAAATTGCTTATAAACACCTAGCCAGCCTAAAATATTTGCTGAACAATAACAAAACACACAAATATAAAAGAAATTCTGAAGCAAACACAGAAAACTGTTCTGTTTTCCAATAATTGCTTTTGTAACAACATTTCAGGATTACTGAGTGTCATTTACAGCATCAAATTTTAATCCATCTATTTGTCTTCGATAATATATACAATAATTTGTCAGCAGTACCTTCTATTGTAGAAAAATTGACCAATTGATTTGCAAAAGAGAGGGCTATGAAGCACTATGAAGCAGTATATAAGTCTAAGTGCTATTGCTAAAAGAATGAGTGGGCAAAAAATTGATAACAGAAATATCAATCTATAATTGCAAACATTTTAAGTCTCTGCTAAATGCTCTCTTTATCTTAACTTGGCTAGTATAAGAAAATTACAGAAGTAATTTTATCCAAAGCTAAGAGCTGTCCTTCCCCAACAAAAGTCAAAATTCAAGGGCTACAACACAAGGGTAACTAAAGCTGATATTATTGTAAGCCTCCCAGAGTCAATTAATAGGGAGATGATATGAATGGCATATAAATTTAATAAATAAAGCTAATTGCCTCTGTGTAAGTTCTCCAATAACCTTACCCGGAACAGAGATGAACATTTTCTCTGCTCCTTGTTCAACCTAATTGTGTGCTGCAGTGCCAAATTAGGGGAAAGAAGGGTGAAAAATTGTGGAGGTCATCAGCCTTAGCTATGCACAAGTTATTGTTTCTGTGGCCAGATAATAAATTCAGCGTGTCTTCTTTGTACCACTTTAGTAACAAGCCAGTGGTGGAGAGGAAAAAAATAAATATCAAGGAAACTTTATTTTTTTGCTGTTAAAAAAATCTATTATAAAATAAAAATTGGCATTCCATTTTTTAAAAAAACTTCCATTAATTATCATGTCAGCAACATATTGATTTGCTATTTTTGTAATACTTGGATATCTCAAACCAAGAATTAATACTAAAACTAAAAAATATGAATGGAAGTAGAATGTTTATTTCAGAGTGCAAAATGCTTGAGAAAGCCAGAATGGTACATGATGCAGTTATATCTAGGCTTTGGGAAAGAAGGTTTCATAGGTATACTTATAATTGTATATTTTCCAGCTTTAGGATCTGTGGTCCAGCTTCCAACTGGGGCTCACTCAATCTTGGCTTGAGTCTAAATAAGTACAGTTATATATGGGAACTAGAAGAGGGGAGTAGGGCTTCTTTACACTAGAGAATGACTTGCCATCTGGCCACATCTCTCTATCAGAACCACTTACCAACGCCCACTTAGTGTATACACATGTATACACATTCTCAGAAAATATGAAATATTCCATGTTCAAGCTCTGCAGAACTACCTAATGAAGTCTCTTGATTCTTTAAACATTCTAATGCAAAACTAGTTAGAAAAGATGCTTAAAATTTCCTTGGCATAAAATTAAGTTGGAAGCTTTTCATATTTTCTGAAATATCATAAAATACAGTGGTAATAACTTTGCTGCCAGAAATTGAATAAAAAGCTTGCAATTACAGCATAAGGAAACTCTAACTGTGCACTATTACATCTGTCATATTTGTAGTTAGTACTCATTAAATTTCAGAGAAATCAGTAGTAAATAATGGGCAACCTTTGTTTATAAGTCAGAGGTCATGGAAATAAATGGGAATTTTGTTTTTTCTTCAAGAGCTTTGGAGGGAAAGAGAAGAATAACAGCTACTTTAAAAAAAATAAAGGGTACCTCTCAGTTTTCTTGCTGTTGAACTAGCCAACTGAGAATGTGACTAGCTTGACATTTCTTTCAAACACAGCACAACATACTTTGTTATAATATTGTGAATACATACTGAGGATTATTGTGTCAATGTAACTAATACATACTATAATAACATACAGAGGATACATTTCAAAATATATGAATTAATAGCATCACTTCCCCCTGTATTTAAAAATAAAAATAATACAAAAACTGAAAAATAGTTTATCACTTATTCTGCATTCTAAAAAAAAGTTTTCCCTTTCTAATTTCATTCTTCTAAATACCTTCTTTTAAAGAAACTTAATGAAATACAATTAATCTTATTTTTTACATTATTTTTGTTCCTTTTATTTTAAATGAAGATGGGCAAGATTTGGGCACATTTTCTTCTCCTTTGTGGTGGAGATAGCATCCAGGATTGAGTTGTCAGTTGCTGCTAGCTAATTGGACTGAGTCTGTCAGATCTGTGAGGACACTCCCCTGTTACCAAGGGTCCCCAGAAACTGACTCAGTCAAGCAACTAGGACGATGTGTTTTTGATTGCTCCAAAAAGATGACTTTAAATAGAAAAATTATAGCTAAACCAATCCTGAATGCTAGCGAAGTGATAGCCGGCCCAGTCTACCAATTGAGTGGCTGTCAATGGAATGATCGGTCAGGGCTTCAGTCTGGATAGGCTGGAAATAGATTGGCTGAGGGTCAGTCTGCATTGCAGTAAGAGGTATCTCCAAGGTGGTGTGACAGAGCAGACCTCCACACCGTTACCGTGATAGATTTGGGAGGGCTTTTGGCGACTTCAAACTAGAAGAGAAGAAAAAAATATCCTAAATTGGTATGAAAACAGTTTGAATTGAATTGCATCATACAGAAGTATTTTTTTAGGTAGGATATTTTTACACTAAATTATATCATTTATTTAAATTAACTTTACAACCACCCAACTTAGAAACTGTGGGCAATGTAGAAAGACTAAAGCCAATAGTTACAACAATACCCTATAACGTCTGAAGTAGTTAACACATTCCAATCACAAAATCACATCAACAATAATCATGAAACATCCACAGTATGGTTTGACCCTTTTTGTTTTTCTTTTAATGCTGAGTATTTTGTTTGTTAAAATGATTTTATTTCAGTGTACATAAATATTCATGAAGTATGTGTTAAAACAGAAGGGTAAAATAAATAATTAAATAAATTATTCTTTATAAATAAGAATCTGAATTTATCACGACAATGTTAACTTGTGGGCAAGGTAAACATGCAGTAAAAATTAACATCAGAATTTCAAACAAATCAAATATAATTTACTATAATGAATTTATATCAAATACCAAGCTAATTTTAAATTATTTCAGGTCAGTTTGAAATAGAACTAATATAATTTGGTATTAAAACATCTTAGATTCCTAGATACCTCAGCGTGATCCCTAAACATAACAATATGTTGTATAGCAGAAATAGCTATAATTAAAAACTTTCTTATGTTTTGTTTCAAGTGGTCCTTAATAATAGTTATCATGTAAAAAAGTGGACAGATTTGCTCACATTGTCACTTTCCATGCCACAATAATGAAAATTTTGAGAAGCAAAAAATACCATATTTTTCTACTGCAAATATTTCAGTTGAGCCAACTTTTATTATATATTGCCTTGAGCATGCCATTTTTTGATCTTTATCATTATGTCCATCAATGCTGTTACTGCCCTTTTCTATTTTTTCCCTTACCCAATCGAGAATGATTTGTACATGTGAATGCTACAATCAATTATAAGATGCTTTGGATTCATCTACTTCTATACAACATTTTTATCCTACCTGTTTACCCAAAAGGCCAGAATTACAGATATAGATTGCCTTCATGATTAATTAAATAATTCTGTTATTCTGCATCATTTTACCTATTTTGAGCATTGCACTTGCACTCTATTGCACTTGTACTCTATTTGCAATGAAATATGTATTACAATTTCATTATAATCTATCCTGAAGGAAGAAATCATACCAAATGGGAAGGCAAGTCTATACAGGTAGCCCTTGACTTACATCAGTTTATGTAATGATCGTTCGAAGTTACAATGGCATTGAAACAAGTGACTTATAACCAGTTTTCCCACGACCGTTGCAGCATCCCCATGGTCACATAGTCAAAATTCAGTTGCTTGGCAACTGGTTCGCCTTTATGACAGTTGCAGTGTCCTGGGATCATGTGATCGTCTTTTGCAACCTTCTGACAAACAAAGTCAATGGGAAATCCAGATTCTCTTAACAATTGTGTAACTTAACAATTGCAGTTATTAACAAATGCAGTTAACAACTGTGGCAAGAAAGGTCATAAAATGAGGCAAAATTCACTTAACATGTGTCTCACTTAGCAACATAACTTTTGGGTTCAATTCAGATAATAAGTTGAGGACTACCTATACTGCCTTTAGCTCGTTATTTCTGCCACTGAATAATAAAGATAATTGATAAAACTATTTATTCTTCTCAGTATTAGTTACTAAAAAATATGAGCAGAAATGCTAATAGGCTCATGTTCTATTATTCGAGCCTTCTGATTGGCTGTTGTAGGGCTAATTGGCTAACTTCATTAGGTATTTGGTCTGGTTCAGCATGGCTCATATACTCTTCCTGTCAATATGGAACTATCAATGAGAAAATATTATACCATTTATATTTTTCAAATTCTTGGATCGATATTAAGAGGCAACGCATAGGCAGATTAGAAAAAAATGTATCAACTTATTTTCATAAAATCTGCTCCTTGTTTCATTTTGTTTCTGCTTTCTTCCTATTGATTGCAGATCCTTATCATAAATGCTTTGAAATATTTACCAATTTTATATGATTAATATAACCTCTTTGCCCTGATATCTCATAGTTATGATTCTCGTTAACAGACTGTTTTTTCTTAGCTTTCTCTAACAGATTGATTTTCTATTATTCTGTTGCAAGTATAAATATTAGGTGTAATGGTATGTGGAAATGACCCTGAGGGATGGAGAGAGGGAGGAGATCCTGCCTAGGAAATGATCAGACATAAGAGGGAGGAACCTGTAGTTATATAATGGTCAAAAAAAGAAATTTAGGAAGGACCTGTCCTAACTGATCGGATAGTTAAAAATTGGTGGGAAAATGTGTACCTTCAGACTCACAAAATTCTGCTACTGTGGTCTTAAAGTATAATTGACACATCTGGTCATGTTTACTTGGAAGGGCTGACATGCATATGCTGGGGTTTTTTTTAATGGGCCAGCAGGGTTTACAGCAGTCAGTATCAAAATAAGAGTATGGATTTTAACAGTAATTAGTCCAAAACCAGAACAGATTTCTAAATTTGCCAAACATCATCTGTCTAAATGAGCAAACATTACTTTTTGCTAGTGTTGTACATGTAAAGTCATGCCATCTTAAATAATTTAATACAGGGTAGTCCTCGAATTACAAAAGTTCATTTAGTGACAGTTCAAAGTTATGACACTGAAAAAAGTAACTGATAACCATTTTTCACACTTATGACCATTGCAGCATCCCCATCATCATGTGATTTATATTTGGATGCTTGACAACTGGTTCATATTTATGATGGATGCACTATACCGGGGCCATGTGATCCCCTTTTGCGACCTTTTAACAAGCAAAGTCAATTGGAAAGCCAGTTTCTCTTAACAACTAATTATTAATTTAACAACTGCAGTGATTCACTTAACAAATGTGGCAAGAAAAGTTGTAAAATGGGGCAAAATTTGTCACTTAGCAATATAAATTTTGGGCTCAATTTTGGTTGTAAGTTGAGGACTGTAGACTCTAAGGATCTTAAGTAAAATTTTAGAATCATTCAGTTCCCAAATTCTTTCTAGGAATTTTAAAATAAGCAATAACATTAGAACTATGTATTCTTTTAATCATGACAGGAGACTTCAAGCTCACATATTAGCATAAAGAAAATCATTTTCCATTTTTAATAACTTTTATATTATGGTAGGGAGGGGTTCTCAGAAGGAGAGGATAAGGGCTAAAACCTGTTCAGCATGTGCAATGCTTCCATAAGGTTGTATTTTTATTGGAGGTGGTCAGCACAATAATCAATTAGGCAACACAATATTAGTCTGTGGCATATATTACATATATGTAAATAGATAGAATGACTAAGTCAGCATTCCTAATCTGACTGCTTTTACAAGAAGTTTCTGAAAATATTTCCTAATTAGGAATCTATAACTGACTAAAAACAGACTAAAAACAGTAATAATGGAGCCATGATAGGATGTCCTAGAATTTCATTTTGTTTCATTTTGCTGTTAAATTTCGATTAAAGAGAAAGGTTTAAGGAAAAGTATTCAATTTTATAAATATTTCTCTTAGTACAGCTGCTGCTAAGAATATCAGCAACTTTTCAAAACAGCATTTTAAATGTTTTTTTTTTTTTTGAGATTTGAAACTTGGATCTTAAAATTACTCATTATTATAATAACTATAATAATAATGTAATATATAAATATAATTTGACTGCTTTAATTTGTATTTTGCAAATGTCCCATTGGTTTATTAAATTTTTTCATCTATATTTAGTGTTAAATTTTATTGTATTTTGGGGATTTAATAAGTGCAGTTGTTCAATGAGATCTAGTGTTCTTGTAACCACAAGGAGAATATTAGCCGTGCTTTTTCATGTGTGTATATTTAATTCTTTTTAGGAGTTACTATCAATGGTTTTGTTGTATTTATTATAGTTTAATTCTCATACACTGATCTTGTCCTTATTAGGATAATGGGGCCAGAGATTTAGGACCTGAAAACACACCCATCGGTTTGAAAACATTCATTGTAATCACGTAAAATCCTGTTTTACTCTTCATGGCTTTGTTTGAGAAAATATCTTTTTTTTCTGCTCAGCCACTCTTTGAAGCAAATGTAATAATTAATTTCTTTAAACAGAACTTCCCCTATTGAAGGTTGAAGCCTGTATTTTAATCAGATGAACTAAGCAGAAAAGTTAGGATTGAAGGGGTTTTCCTTCAATTCTGCTTTGTTTTTATGTGCTTATGCCCTTGAATACTATGATGAAAATAAAAGAAATATTTAAATGTGTCCTGCATTCCTAATACTCAATACTTTAAAATGTTTGAAGCAGCATCTATGTTGCTATGAGACTAACAAACTCTTGAATAAATGCATTTTATCAGCAAATGTTCCTTAAATGATCCTATACTGCAAATTTTAAACCCAGATTGTTAATTGTTGGGTATCTTAATATTAGATTAGTACCACTAATTTGTTTAGGAAAAATTTTCCTTTAATAAAGGAAGAAATACAGTTGTTGTTTTCTTCAAGTAATAGCAGAAATACTTTTCCTAGTTAACTTAGTTCATCCAGAATGTCAGAATTCATTTTCTCTTGCTGAACAATTTTAATTAGGTTCTCCCCCCCCTTTTTTTTTCCACAGATGGACCATGATCCTAGAAACCCTGCATATATAGCTGCCCAGGGACCATTGCCTTCTACTGTCACAGACTTCTGGCAGGTAAATTTAGTGTTGGTTTTTTTGTAAATTCTATTTGCAAAACTTTGTATTTAAACCATGTTAAATGTTGATAATAATGTGAATTTCCAATAAAATACCAAATAAGCTTGCTTGTGTATATAAGTGATTATGTGTTTATTTAAAATGGACTTTAATACACTCACTTCAGAGAATCCTGTATAAGGGCTGAAGAGGTATAATTACCTAATCTGACCCCCTGTGAGTGGCCAGACAGGAAATCCATAATCCAAAGACAGATTGAATAAGAAAGTCCACGGTCCAGAAGTTTAGACACTAGTCTGTGGAAGAATTGTGTTAAATGCAGAACTAAAATCTACAAAAAGCATCCTCACATAGCCCTCCTGCCCTGTTCTAGATGAGTCAGAGCAGTGGATCTATTTCTTTTGTATGCAAACTGGTGTTTATCAAATGTATGTGGAAGACCAGAAATGATGTGCTGGCAGACCAATTTTTCAAAGCACTTCATGATGATAGGAGTGAGTGCCACTCGTCTATAATTGTTGAGGTTATTGATAGGGAACTTCTTTGGCAGCGGAACAATGGCGGAAGCCTTCAGACAAGATGGAATAGTGGACTGGGATAAAGACTGATTGAAGATCCTGGTAAAGGCTCCAGCCAACTGATCAACACAGTCTTTAAGCACTCGGCCAGAGATACCGTCAGGACCAGCAGCCTTTCTAGGGTCTACAGCCCTCATAAGGCTCCTCACCTCCTGTTCCTCCACAATGAGGTGGGGGCTATTTGACCAGAACAGGGCTTTGTATTCCAAAAAAGAAAAAAAAGAGAAAAACCAAAAGCAGCAAAAGCAAAGGGAATTCCAGTGCACTGCAATTCTACAGTTGCTTTTGGCTTTTCCCCACTCCATCAGGGCAAAATCCAGTTCCAACCTGATGCAGCGGATAGGCCAGGCATGTCTTGTCAGCAGCCAGAGCAAGGAGACAGCAAAGGTCAGCTGGAGCAAGAGAGTCCAGGACTATAGCTGGGATGGGATGGGGCAGCTGCTGATTCCAAAGGCCTGACAAGCTTTCCCAGGGCTGTGCTGCTTACCTTATCAGAACTGAGAGCAGCCAAGCCCATAAGGGCTTGTTTTGGGGTGAAATATTCATTTAATGACCTATGATTCTCAGTTAACAAGAGCAACAGGAAGTGTGGAGATTGTGGCTACTAAGTGATGTGGACATGTGATATCTCACTGTGGGGTCCTTGGTACTTTCTGAACTTGTTGTTTTCCTGCAGCCATTTAACATTGCCAATGCTAGAAGGAAGAGGGGTTTTCTGTTTGTTTATAAATAGTAATAGTAACAGTAACAACAACAGCAATAATAATAATAATAATGATGATGATGATAATGATGATAATGATGATAATAATAATGTGCTATGTTCGTGTTGATTGGGATGTTGTTTTCTTCTTGGTAGTTCCTTGATTAGGCTGTTGTTCACTGCTTGATGATTTGTCTGTTTTAGTAGTTCCTTGATTAGGGTTTGTTGCTTGATTATATGTCTGCTGTTGTTCCTAATGTTAATCCCAGTTTATATGGGCATTGATTGCTAGCAAAGAGGTATTCTGATTTATTTTTCCTTTTTAGCTTTTTATTCTATCTTTTGAAACGTGTAAATGTGGTTTATTTCTATCAGCCTATTGATTACTGTCTTGTCTGAGGACCTAGCTTTCAGGAATTCTCTTAACATTTTTTGAAATTAGCTAGATTTGGGATGTTCACAGTGTTCGAGTTGAAACATTTGAAACGATTTAAACTTTGATTAAGTCCGTCTATACATTGTGAAATCAAGGAGTTTTCATTAAGTTTTTTTTTTACTGCTAGTTGGTGTTCATAGCTGCACTTTACGAATCTTCTGCCTCTCTGTCTTATAATGCTTAAACTGTCTGTTATAGAAGATTTCTGTTTTTTCTTCTTGTGCTACTGGAGAAACACAGTTTAAAACTATTAAGATTTTGGGAGGGCTTCGATTATTGTGCAACAGTGATTCCATGTGGTTGTAACAGTCTGCTAGTTGTTTCTATTTTGACTCCCAATTGTAGGTCAAGGACTATCTGTGTACAAAAAGAGTAGTGGTTGTGTCATGAAGTGGTTGTGATCTATGTGACTCTTCTTGTTCCCCATTCCCATCCCACAATCATCACTGATTATGAAAATTCAATTTGTAACACCTCTGTAGGGTACCATCTTGGATTGGTTGTATTATGGGAGTTTTCATAATCACAGAAGATACATAAATATCTTTTCTTGATACAGTCCTAAGAACTAAGAGAATGAGATTTGCAAGCAAATTGGGAGAGTTGCCCAGAGTTTTAAGTTATATGTTCCTAATTTATTTTTCGATGAGAGTTTATAATACATTACATTTTAAAGTAAGGAAAGAAAAGCCTAAGTTCTTCAAATTTTTATTGAGCTTCATCAACCCTGAACATCACCTGTGCTGGCTGAGTGACGGCTAACAACAGAAGAGAAAGCTGGTGTGATGGGTGAACTCAGGAAAAAAATGGAAAAGAACATTTTGTATCTTCTTTTATTTAAAGTTACATTTAAGTACATTTTTACACAGAAATCCCCACCCCCACCCCAAGGAAAGTGGCTCCTAATAATTAAACATCTCAAGGAAATGGATATGCATGCTTAATACATTGCTTCAGAGAACACAAGTACAGGTGCCTAGGAAGAGTGCTTTGCTTCACATTTTCCCTCTATGTTTCCCCAGCCAGAATGAGTCACTAAGTCAGATGTCCAATAAGAGATTCATAGTCAATGTTGTATTTTCTAATTATATACTAGAACATATACAATGATCTGACTGGACTTTTATTTAATTGGGAAAAATAAGGAAAATTAAGCCTTTGCCTTTCTATTTAATTATTCTTGAGTAACTTATCAGAGACAGGGTGAGCAAATACATTTGGCTTCTTTATATGGATCCTAAGATGCAGTAAAGTCAGGAATTTACAGAATTAAAGTAGGCAATGGGAAGCATTATTTTGTTTTGGGGATTGTGCAAATAGGCTATTTTGTTCATTTAAAAAACTAATTTCAGAGGGTTAACAGCTTTCACAAATCTTTCACTTCTATAATTGTTCAGCTCTTTTTTCATTCCCTCATTTTGTTTTCTTGAAATATGTATTCCAGTTAGTGTAGCGAAAGAAGATAATTAAATTCTGCTTTTCTATCTTACTGCATTCTCTCTTCCCCAGTGCTTTGATTTGTAGCCAGGATTAATTTTTATGCCTTAGTTTCCCACTTGGCCTAAAGGATTGTTCTTGGAAAACAGCAAAATGTGACTTACATATTTTTGTTTCTATCTTCTATTTTAATTGAATTTGATATCTAGTTGGCATATCCACTGTTAATCCAGGTGCCATTGCAAACACTATATATGGCTGTAGTTCTAAACACAAATATATTTACTAAGCATTTAGAATTATGTTAGATGTGAGTTTATAATGAAAAGTTAAATGAGTGCTTAAAATTTCCAAATAAATAAAAATGTAAATTATTAAATTCAGAATTGATAATATTGCTTAGTTTAAGCTACATAATATGCACTAGCATATTTGAGTGATATATAGAGCTTAGTTGATAACCTAAACCTCTCTAGGATATTTTGGATTCCATTCATTCATAATTGCTTGTTAATAGGAATACAATTCAAAGCAACTAAAGGCCCCACATCTGCAAAATCTTAACAAAAGTCTGAAACCTGAGGTTGAGCCAAACATGTAATCAAGTAGCAAGTTCTGCAAATCATTTAAAGTTTCCTAATCTGGATTAGATTTGAGATACATCATTACAACAGTCCCATATTTTGCAAAGATCACACAAAGAAACCTTTGTTAGTTTCATGTACAGCCACTTTGCTTCAGTGATAGGCCCATGGAAGTGATGGCTGTGTATACACACAAATACTTTCAAAAATGTCAGCAGTGATTGCATTTATGTGTATGCACAGCCATCACTTCCATGGGTCTATCACTGAAGCAAAATGGCTGTACATGAAACTAACAAAGGTTTCATTCACCGTGTTTCGCTACATCCAATTAGAAATGCAAGATATATTGTTGGCATTACTTCTCCTGAGTTAAATGAAAATGAAGGATACAATATGATGTATGCCTTACATTCTTCAAAAAATTTAAAGTAGCTGGAAAATAAATTTTAAAATAGCCTTAAATTGCTCATTAGCATTTTTAATATTTCTTGTCATGGTTTCAATTGGATATTTATACAGTGTTATATCTCACAGTCACAACTGAGCCCATATTTATTTCTGTGAGGTCATAAATTACAAATTGGTAATAAGAAGTAAATCTATATAACCCCCTAATTATGAAATAGGGTATAAATGATAATAGTAGGAATTATTAAATACATCTTAGCTTACATAAAATTTAGCTTTTCCAGATGTTTGAATTTGAACATCCATAATATTATGAAAATTTATATTTCTTTCTGTTCTTTGATTATCTGAACATATTGAAAAATTCATATGTTTATTAAACATGAAGTTCAAATTTCTATTTGAAAAATCATTGTCTAGGCTAATTAAATAAAAAATTTGCAACAGCAGTACTTTCCTACATTTAACAATTTCAAGCAATATATGAATGATGACAAAACAGAACCTTTGGCATACAAATCACAAACACCAGGTAATATTGCTCTCTTTATGACTCAGATTTTGAACTCAGTGGAGAACATCACATATATCCAGGAGTCAAGTTTGGAACCATCATTTGGGCTCTAATCCTGTTAACATTTGCTGAAGAGGCCAATTTACTCTTTTCATCTTTATGTCACTGTAACCAAATTAATTTGAAGGATCTATTAAATGTCTTATATCAAAGTGAAAGAAACAATCCCTACATTGTGTCATTCTAAAATGGTTACTTTTTTCCCCACATATAGAGTAAGACCAAGATACAATGCCATTTTCGGATATAATAGATATAATAAGAAGGCTATAACTTGTTTCTAGTTTAGATTAATTTTTAAGGGCTAAAAGAAAAAATGATAGATAACGTGATAGATAAGATTTTAAACATAACATTTCACATTCTTGCCCTAAAAAATGAATGAATGTTAGAATGCTTCAGATAATGTAATCCAAAAAAATATTTTTTCAGTTTAGATTACCTTTCCAAACAATTAAATTATAAATGTAGTAAATAAACCCTCTAAATTATCAGCGTCTAACAAAGAGTTGAATGCGGTTATTTATAATAATGAAAGAAATACATAAAGCTGGAAAACTTGAATTACTCAAATAATAGCTCAAGGAAGTAGGCTAAGAAATCATTCTGTTTTAAACATGGAAAAATTATACAAATCAAAGTGTTAACATATAGTTGTAATAGAAGTCAAGGAATTCACAACAATATTAACTTGGAGTGTCAGCTGCTTCATAAAATGACATATAAGAAATATTATACTTCAGGATAATTTCAAAATTGTTCATTTAAATTAACTTCATTTGGATTTATGCTCAAAGGAAATTTTAAGAAATTTGAGGCAGCTTCTCTAATGAAATATATATGTTTAGCCAATAAGAAGGGTTGTAAAAGAATAAGAATTCCTTTTCCTTTCCTTTCCTTTCCTTTCCTTTCCTTTCCTTTCCTTTCCTTTCCTTTCCTTTCCTTTCTGTGAATAAGTAGGCTTGCCTAATATTATACCTAGGTGACAACTGCTCAATGATTAGTTTATGACCTATATCATTGTGCTTTTATTACACTCATAAAAACAGTTTCTCCTCATTTTTGTAAAGGCTTAATTGAGCTGCTGTATCTTCTAAAGACATATTAAAGTGTCACATGTTGGAAAAACCAACTTCTCTCTCCAATCTTTTGTATGTGCATGTGTTAAGCACTAATACCTTAAAAGTAAGGTGAATAATTTAGAATGTATGTAAATTAATGGAGCTGGGTTTAGTATTTGAAATGTTGAGTGTTTCATTTTTGTGCAATTAGTATTGGTTATTGAAGGCAGAAAGCTAGTTCTTATACAGTATTTACTGCTGAACATGTAACGTACTCATTTATCATATTTATGTAACCATGCATCTCACAAAAAGCATATCTAGGCGATGCACAATAAAAATAATAATAAAATCAAAATATTTTTTTAAAAAAGACATCAGTAGTATTAACAGCAAGATAGTAGAAAAATAGTAGCTAAAAACAATGCAGCCATTTGAGATCTCCAGTACTAATAACACAACCATATTTTGAAAGAGTTCCAGAAGGATATCAAGGATGAAGCCAATCTTGCATTAGGAAGATGTTGCACAGTGCAGGCAGAAAAGGCTCATCTTCTGTTTCCTACCAGATGAAATTCTTTTTTTTTGGATAGGACCCACAGTACACCTCTTAAGCTAGATCTGATGGGAATGACAGATGTACTGAGTGGTGGTGGTCTCTCAAATAACTTGGCCTCATGCCATGGAGAGCTTTAAAGGTAAAGGTAAAGCATTTTGAATTGTACCTGTAAGGAAACTAGCAAATGGTGCAGCTTGCAGAGCAGAAGTGTAACATGAGCCATTCTAGGGGCACGCATAACTATCATACTGTATTTTACACCACCTGAAGCTTTCTGATCTTCTTCAAGGACAGTTTCTTGTAGACCATATTACAGTAGATATACTACTGTACAGGAAATGACTAGGCCATGAGTGACTGTCAGCAGTACAGATACAGGTGCAACTGACACAGAAAACGAAGCTATACTAAAGCCTTCATAGCCATGATTGCCATCTTTTCTTTGAGCAAAAATCTCCAGTTTAGAGGAGATCTCCAGTTTAGATCCTAGATCACACATGTTTGGGAAAATGCAAGTCCGTCCAGTACCAAGCATGACCTGGAGCGCCCCAAAATCCAGAGCCATTTAGTTTTGTCAGTGTCCAGCAGAAGCCTTTTTGTTCCACTTCCAGACCCCTGGAGCCTCCAGCATGTGATATCAATAGCACCACTTAATTCTGTGGGAAGGGGCAGCAAGGTATAATTGGATATCATCATTATACCAATGACCTCTCACTCCATAATAATGGATTATATCATCCAGTGGCTTTATGTAGATGTTGAATAGGATAGGAAAGAGTCCCAACCCTGCAGGATCCCACAAAACAGGGGCTAAGGATGTGATCACTCTCCTTCAATTACCACTGATTAGAATTGAACTGAGGAGAAAGGAAAAGAAAGGCAGAGAACCAGCATGATATAGTGCCATCCACCTCCAATCTCCAGAGCCAATCCAAAATGATACCATAGCCAATGGTATCAAAGGTCATTAAGGAGTCAAGAGATCATCCAATAGCATAACCAATGTTGCTTCTGCCCCATACCCAGGTCTTAATCCTGACTAAACAGGCCCACATAACCTGGTTCATCCAGAATCCTTTGTAGCTGCTGTACAATCTTGTCAATCACTTCCTCTCCAAAGGAGATGTTAACTCCTGGGCAAATGATAGGATCCAGCAATAGTTTATTGAGGACAGGGTAGACCAGTGTCTCCTTAAGAACTACCACTCAAAGAAGAATTTATTACTGCTAGAATCCACCCACACAATACCTCCTTGGCAGTTTTAGATGCAAAGAGCGGGTGATTGAGTTCACAGTCATAAGGTCCAGTTTCTCAAACCCAAAGGTTCAAGCCATTTTCAATAACAGAGAAATATTCCTTCCAGGCATTTCCAAGGCCTAGGTCCTACAAAAATGATCCAAAGTCAGTGGCTGGATTCATTGTGTTAGTTGTGGAAAATTGTTGTGTGAATGCATTAAAGCAAGAGAGGAAAAATCAGTTTAATCTCAATTTCTGTTTGGGCAATTATGTTCCCAGTCCTGGGTTGTATGAATCCTAAATTCTAGAAAGTGGGTAATAGTTAAATTCATACCTCACACCTGTAAAGAAAAGAGATAGAATTTAGAACTGCTATGAAAATTCAATGCTCCATTGTGAAACTCATAGCAAAAAACTCCAGCAATCAGAGGAAGCTCTTCTGAAATATTAATGTGTTGTGTTGTCTAAGACACACTCACTGCTGCTTCTCTAGTAAAGGAAGAAGTAATAGTCATATCTGCACCAGGAAGGGTTTCAAAACAGGAAATGTGGTAGTCACAGTATCCCTATAAGGATTCTATCTCTTATTTCTGTGTGTACATCAATGTAACGTTCAAAAGAGTAGAGTACGATCACATTGCCATGACCATCATACTTATTTTGATACATGCATATATTGTGGATAGGAAGATGTCATTACAAAATGAAGCTAGGTCTGTTCCTTCCTGATGCAAGGGTTTCTGGGAGGCAGGACTGATAGAACTGCGAACAAACTCTAGATGTCCCCAAAAATGCCCTTGGGATTGTGCGATGCCAGATTCAATGGTATGGAACTATGATTAAGCTCGATAATGATATGGAGCTATGATTAATGTGTGACTAGATTAGCCTGTTATGTAAGCACAGTCAAAGATTTCAACAGAATTTTGAAAATTTGTTTTTGAGTTGAAGGCAGATATGTTTCAAAAAAGAAAAAAAAATATTACTTTCAAGCATTGCTAGATTTGTATGTTTTGCCTTTGGTTAATGCTGTCAGGTATTTTAAGCAAAATATTTGTTTTAAAATGTCCTGCAAATCAAATGAAATTAAGGCAAATAAAAAGGAATCTTTGAATTGAATATAACATCTTTATGTTGTTTATCCAAACAATCTGTTTTTGTTGTTTACTCTTTTACATCTCAGTACAATGGCTTATAAACGTTTATGTGAATAAACGTGACCCTTTGCACAAAGATCAGTTTCCTTTTCATGAGGTAATTTTATATGCTAATAAAAATACAATCAAAACTGCATACAATTATAGCATCAAAGTATGGCTTAATAATGCAGATATGAGTGATTCTTAAGAATTTAGGAGGGGGTTACTCAACCACTATCTGGAAACACTGTCTTGGCTTTTTTTAATGTCTTCTTAAATAACATCCTGCAAACCTTTGTATTTTTTTTCTATTTTAGCAGAATAATTATATAGTTGAAATTATCCTATTTTCATACATCGATAATAGCTATGTGTTTTGAGGAAATATATAAACTTTATGCTTTACATATTATAAATATAAAATATATTTATATAAATATATCTAAATATTTATGGAAATTCTTTGGACATTCTTTAATATTTCATGGAAACATACGAGATATGATTCCATTTTATTTAATGATTTGGAAGCAGCTGCACAGAAAAATGTCGAAAATGAAATACGTTTCCTGTGAATGGAATAAATCTCAATTGTGTTTCTGAGTGCAGTAATTAACACATCATGCAGTAATTAGGCACTCATAATGTAACCATGGTGTCTTTCTTTGTCTGCAGATGGTCTGGGAAAACGGCTGTGTAGTTATTGTCCTGCTGACCCCTCTCACCGAAAATGGACTCAAACAGTGCTACCACTATTGGCCAGATGAAGGGTCAAATCTCTACCATATCTATGAGGTATTTAAAGAAAATAACTGCTTGTAAACCTGACAGTAAGCGTGTAGTTTGTTTTGTACAGAGGAAAATATTGTTTAATGGAATTGGGCCTGTAAACTGAACTAAGGACTACCATAACATTCAAAAATTGAGTGTTTTTTAATCATTTAAACTTCATTGAAAATCTTTGATAGCATATTCAGCCGAAAAGCCATTTTGTTCTGATTTTAAGTAAATGTACCAAAGATTTTTAAAGTTTGCATTTTCTTCCTAAGACTTTAAAATACAAATAAGAAGGGAGTTAACATTTATAATAGTATAGAGCTTATACACATTTAACATCTACTATAAATTCCATAATATTTCAAAATCTCTATTCTTTGATAATTAATTTTTTTAAGTTAAACCTATTTATTTACAGAGAGAGTGAGAACTTAAAGAGATTGCTGTGATGTAATCACAGCAACTTGCTTTGCAAAGCAAATTGGAGCAAATTTTCTCTGCCAAGATTTGTAACCATAAATTATATGAATTAAAAATACTGTGTAGTTTTGGTGCTAGATTGGGATGAATATAATTTCTAAAGGAATAAGCAGCTTTATAATCACCAAGTTTGGAAAAGCAAGGAAAAAGCAAGGAAAGCTGTGTTGTTCAGCCTATTTTTCATGACTATTGTCTCAGTTTTATTATAAAGGATTTCTGGGTTTGTTTCTTTTGTTTGTTTTTACATTTTTAAAAACTCTTCGCCTGACCTTTGCAGTATTTGTGTGATTTTATCAACTGCAGATTTTGTTCTCTATATAACATATTATTACTATTGTATATAACATACTACAGAAAGTTCTTATTTTCTGTGATTATGTTGCAAAGAATGCTGGATAATTAATGGGCAAATTGTAGTAATTTTACATATATAAGTTAAATTGTCCTAGCTATTGAATACAGCAATATTTCCTCTTACTCTACTCTGCCTGAGCTAGCATTATCGTTGCATATGAGGAAGAAGCAAACCCACTGTTAGGTCTTATATTGCTGAAATTTCAGGAGTCGGGGGTAGGAATTTGTTTTGAGGATAGCACATATTTTTTCTATTTCTACTTTTATAATGTTTTCAGGAACTTTGGTTTACATTTTAGGCCATTCTTCTATTCCACTCAGCTTTATTTCTTTACTGGATGAGGGAGATTGCCGTAAACAGAATAAATATATAAATTCAAACATACCCTTAAAACAAATTCACCTAGTGACTTAATTGAGGATGATTTCCTTACTGATAAACCACAATTAGCAATAACTCATGCAATGCACTCAAAGTTACAACAGGGCTAAAGGAATGGCACTCACAACTGATCCTTAAAGTTGTGGTAATCCCAGCATTTCCATAGTTATGTAATTGTAATCTGGGCATTACTTATGACAGTTGCAGCATCCCACAATCATGTGATTGCCATTTGTGACTTTGCTTGCCAGCTTCCCACAAGCAAAATCAATGTGGCAGGAAAAAGCACAGGTCACTTTGGTAAGTCTCCTGCACCTAATAGCAGCAACCACAAACCTTGCTGCAATCACACCTTTCTGCTCCGGCCTCACCCTCACATGCTTTCCTGTACCCGACCACAGCCATTTCAAGCCTTGCTGTGCTTGTGTCACACCTGACATTAGTGAACCCTTGAGCACCCTCTCTCACTCCATAACAGCCATCCGAAGCTTCATTGCACTCACACCTCACTATACCCCCATGCACCCTATTCTACCCATAGTAACTGTTTACCTACTTATAGACCTACTTGCAAACTGCCTGGGACTTGCTTCTTCTGATTGACTTCCCTACTGATTTTGGTTTTTGGAAGCCGGCAGGAAGTTATGAGAAGGTCCTTGTTTAATAATCCACAAAACAACAGCAACAAAAACTGTTAAGATTGCCATCACTAAGCAATGCATGCACATGACATTTCAATTTACAGCAGCATCACTTAGTAACGGGAATTCCAGTCCCAATTATCATGGTTAACCAAGAACTAACGTAGTGTCTCCAATTTTAGATACTGTGTTAAGATGCAGTATATGGATTTAAGAAGGTTAACAGAAACAAGCTTCTGCTTAAACCCTTTTTTCTGTGGCATAAACCACGACAGTGGCTCAGTAGCATTTTGTAATACAGTAATATTAATTTTTGCAAGGACATGTGAAGTTTTATATTGGGAATACATAAACTGTGATGCTAAGTTTGACCATTGGCTCATTCCATTATTTATTCGGAAAGTAATTTTTAAAACATCAAGGTATGTTGCAAGTAAAGCTATGCTCTTTTACATCTACAAAGATTTGCTTTACAAGTGAGTATTATTGCAGCACAAATGTTTGTGGTTGAAATACAAAATACTTAAAATAAGTATAAGAGGCTGCTTAGCAAATATCTTGAATCTTACAACTTTTCCAAGAGCAAATGATGCATCCATGTATCTCATTTTAAAAAGTTTATCATTCTGTTTTACATTTTATTTAAGTCTAACAGTTTAGTTAATTCATTTGTGGGGGTTAGTTGGAAGACTATATTTAACATATCTTTTAATATTGTAATATTCCAGATGGGATAGAGTAAGTTAAGAGAAGCTAGATTTCCTAAACTGCTTAATGAGTTAAATGGGAAATACATTTCTATTTGCAAACCTAACATTCTCTCCAACATCATATACATTTTCAATTTAAAACAACCAGATTCATAATTTGTAAGAAAGGTTGCGATGCTATATTTATTGCTGGTAAAATGGGAAGCGGTAACTCTTAAATGCCCATTGTTTAACTTCTGCAGTAATAACCATATAAAATATAGTAAGTGTGTTTAGCAAAATATATATTTGCTCTTTTTATCAAAGCAAATAATAAAAAATATATTTTTACTTTAATTCCCACAAAATCACTGATACAGTGTACTTCATTTTGATGCCTCAATTAAGTGCATATAAAATTTTACATTTTTAATTATATTCTACAGTTGACTCAGTTTTGCACTTTTTATGTTATGATAGGTAAATCTGGTTTCTGAACACATCTGGTGTGAAGACTTCCTTGTAAGAAGTTTTTACTTGAAAAATCTCCAAAGCAATGAGACTAGGACAGTAACCCAGTTCCATTACCTTACCTGGCATGATCAACAAGTTCCTGCATCCACAAGATCCCTTCTGGATTTTCGCAGGTACAGTAGAAATAATTATTTAATTCCGAAGATAAAAAATGGTTATAAAAATTGTGTACTGCTTGAAAATAATTTAATCAATTTGTAGTTGATGATGAGGCAGTCATGGACTTACTTGTTACATAGAGTACTGTGACTAAGGAATTTTAATATATTCTTCCTTCTCCTGTGTCAAAATATGCTGTTTTCTAGTGTTTCACATAGTAAAATATGACATAGAGAATGATCCATTTACTATCACAGTCCTAAAACCAGTCAGCCAGTATTTTGAAAGCCAACTGCTTCTAAAAATGGATGGTAGAAGAATTATAAATCATGTAGACCAATGTTTTTCATCTGTAGCAACTTGACTGGTAATTCTAGGGTTTGAAGTTCAGACATCTTCAAATTGTCGAGTTTAAGAAACATTGCTATAAATATAACATAGATATAAATAGCCAGCATTCCCAATATAAGTAATTAAATTGCTAATTGGAACTTATGACATCATAATTAATGCACTTGCAAAAAAACCTAAACCAACAATTCCATGTAAGTACAAAGTATTTATTTTCTTTAAATAGACATATACACAAGCATATTAGGAGGAAATATCTATGTATGTCATGGCAATTTACACCAAAGCTACTATATTTGTTTGTCTCAAGATAAAGCTCATTTTTCATATGGCAATGTTGTATTATTCTATTTTTCTAGGCATTCAGCAACTTCATCTCTAATATACATTCTTGTATCTAGAATAATCAAAGCACAGCTAAGATGACTGAGGCCTAATGGAGATGCAAAAGTTTTTTTTTTATTTTGAAGCAGATTGACAGGTGAATACTTAAGCATCACCCAGTTCTATACTCTCAAACTGAATTTCCATAGATTAGAAAAAAGCTATACAGAGATCTTTTCTATACAAGTCTACCCAATTTAATCTCTTTACCAGCTCCCAGATTCAAGGCTCTTGTTTGCACTTATCTGCGCATCAAGCTCCTAGTAATGCAGAGATACATCATTAATTACATTCTCCCACATGTAATCATTTTGTGTTTCCCACCCATGTTTTGTTGGTTATTTTAATGACATTTAAATTCTTTTTCATTTATTTTAAAGTGATTGAGAAAATAGTTTGGGACAATGAATTAGTATTTCTTTCTTTATATCTCAATATTTTAAATAATTTCTGAATCTCTTATCTATGTCTAAGCACTCCTCTTCAACTAAGAATCAGTTTTAAGGTTCACTGAAATGTTACCTAGTCAAATTCATTAAAATCCCACAATGGTTCATTGAAAAATGCTAATTTTTAGTACATTATATTGAAATGTGCAAGTCTCAATATGTTATATTGAAGTTTTTCCAAATAATGCTGTTAGAATTAAAATAAATGTATAACATGTTGAATTAGCACTTTGTAAATACTATTATGATATGCATCAAAATAGTGATTAATAAAATCTATATGGTTTATAAATGTCCCCTGAGAGGCTTTTCTGTTATTGATAAAAACTACATATACACAAGGTATAGTATTTCATCCAGATAACATTAATTTAATTATTTAGATCAATGAGCAGTCTTAAGATCATCACAGAGAAGGTCTGTGTGGTTGCTAAGAATCCTCAGTGACTTGAGAGCCCAATCAATCAAAGTCTTGAGAAATTTTTCAAACTATTTTAGAAATTATCTAAAATTGATGATTAATCTGTGTTCAATTCACAGCCATACATTTCTTGTACTATAGCAGTTATCTTCTGCTGTTTTCCATGTATTCATTTTCTAGTCAGCACACATTTGCCAACTAATAATCTGTACTTATCTATAAGCAGAATGCTAGCCCTAAGATAGAGTTTGGCTAAAATTGCTTCTTACTGCAGTGTCTAAGAATAAAATCCACAAGCCTTATGCAAAGTTCTTCCATGTATAATGACATTTTGAAGGAAATAAAAGAGTGACTTGAAGAAATCCATCTGGATTTAAAAGAAAAAAAAACACAAGCAAGCTATTAAAAGTTTTATGGATATGCATCTTATCAGACAACCAAGTGTATCCTTTCAGTAAGACTTATTTATTTTTATTTTCATTACAAATTATCCACAAGTGTTTGGGGATGAGTTCTGTTTTGTTTTTAAATTATAGTTCTATTATCTTTCAAAAGACAAAACAGATGAGATACTGCTTTGTGTGCCAAAAGCAATTTTAAGGAATATTAATATTAGTTTCTCATCAATCTTAATTTTCTTGCTTTAGTAGAATTGTTTCTACAGTTATATCTTAACAATTTGAATATGTTATTCTACACTCTTGAAAAAAAATAATGCCTTACAATAGAACTAGGTTCTTAAATTAATCATACAAAACGTAACCCAACCCCATCCCTATTTTTTATGTGGTTTGATTTCCTTTTAACCTGTTCATATTTACTTTTAAGTGTATTGTACATAGAGATATTTAATATAGACAGCCCATTCCCTAGAACCATAATCCATCACCGAGAAAAATTTGCCCCAGAGTCTTCAAAGCTATGTATTTGTTTTGTTTTATTTATTTTTAATTAAGCAGATTCTGTTGGACAGTGAAAACAACTAGTTTGTGCTTTTTTTGTTCCAACTCGCTAAAGACTATTGTGTTGAATAGGTTGTACTATGTTAAACAGATGAATTAAAGCTAAGGCATTAAAAGCTCTTCATTGTTTGAAATATTGTGCTCTCAGATATTGATGAAGGAAGGAAGATTTTTTTTCCCCTCAGTAAGCTTAAAATATCCAGACAGAATGCAGTGTTTGAAAGGTGAAGCTGCTTCTTCTCAAAATACTGGTCACTTTAATGATTGCAGAATCCTAATTTCATTTTGCACAATAGACTAAGCTTTTTAAGTCTGGACCAGCTTGTTAGTCATGCACTGATAGTGTGTAATTAAATATTTCTTGAGCCCAGAGGGAGCGCATTTACACTTTAAAGGGACACTGCTAAGCTAAAAGATAATTAGCATCACACATGAGAGCTTTGCTTAAAATATATATTATGCTATCATTGCTTGCTGTGTGCAATGGCATTTATTAATACTGCTCACTTTAAAAATGGTCAAATTCTTATTTTGCCAGCTAATTAGCAGTTGCCAGTGTCATTTTTGTGATGTTGCAGCTAGTAATATAAGCCCAGTTGCATAGTCACAAAAGTGATCATTGGAAACTGTGACTGCTGCAGGGACGTTAAGGAAACCCCTTTTCTGAGCCTCTAAGGACCTTTGACCTTTGGTTGCTGATGGTTGCATGGTGATTTCTTTTTACTCAATGAACCAAGGGTTGGTTTGTATGACTAATCATTTTTTTCTAGTCAATTCTTCATCTCTCTTTGTGTATGTATGTATGTATATATTTTATTAAAATAATACTAAATATTCAGGGCTTTATTTATACATTTTAGTGGGATTTGGAAGAACTAAATTTGAAGGAAATGACACTGTTTTTATAATCAAAACGTTCCAATCAGTGAAATTCATTTGAAGCTATTATTTCCATGTGCGTTTTGATATATGTCATTATTCATATCTTTGAAAGGATAGCATAACTTAAAACTAAGATATATATAAGTTAATCAGATAGCCAGAATTTTAGCAATGAACTGAGCCAAATAGAAATTAACGGATAAGTTGAATTATGGAGAGCACAAATGTGAAAAAAATTATTAAAGCCTCAAGCTATCTTCAGAAATAAAGCTGTTCAAGTCTGTGTTGATGAATGCTTTAATTCATTTGCTGCTATGAAATAGAAAGAAGATATATGGTCTCAAAATATTTTAGAGTAATGTAAAAACACCAGGCATTTATTTCATTCCTTACACATTTTGTGTATTAAATGTCACTGCAACAGTAAAATGACTTTTACATACCAAGGATAACAAGTGTAAACAGATTGCCCATAGTTTGTGTGTAATATATATGTGTGTATGTATGCATATATATGTGTGTGTGTGTGTGTGTGTATGCATGTGTCTGGGTACACATAGGTATACATATACACATATATACACATATATACACATATATACACATATATACACATATATACACATA